CGCCCCCCCCCCCCCCCCCAAAAAGAAAAGAGACTGAAAGGGGAGGCGGAAAAAAAAAAGGGGGGCAGCTTTTTCGGAGAGAGTTTGCGGATATCGCGGCGGCGCGTGAGGTCGTCGCGAGGAGATTATCCGGGAGGGGAGCGCGCGAGCCGCGACGGGCTGGACACGGTGCACCAATCTCGGATGGCTAGGCGCGGCAGCTCGCGCTCACTCCCTCCCTGACCCCGGAGAGACAGCCACCCCGCGGACCGAGGCGAAAAAACTCCGGGGACCTCACAGGAGTGGCAGCCAGCGTTTTGACTCCGGCCTGTTTCCATTTTTTTTCTCTCTCTCTTTCTTTTTTTTTTTTTTTTTGGCGTGGCACACACGGGACCGGGGCCGTAAACAAACAAGGCAAGCCGAGAGCTGTCCGGCGAGCAGCCTCGAAGAAGGGGGTGGGTGTGTGTTTGTGTGTGTGTGTGTGTGTGACTGAGTTCTACGTTTAGCTGCGTTTTTAGCCCCTATCCGGAACGCTTAGCTTTCCGCGAGGCGAACCCCGTGAGCGTGCGCGTGGACGAAAACGTCGTTTGTGACATGGCTGAGTTCGACTGAGAGTCTGAGGGAGCCAGCGGAGTCATGGGATGTAGCCGGACTGTGTAGTGTGTAGTTGGAAGGAAACGCTCTGTGTACAGGAGCAGGAACAGCCAGACTTAACCTAAACACACACATCCTCATCCCTTTACACGTACACACGCACGGACCTACGCACGCACGCGCACACGCACGTCCCCTGTCTGCAGCCATGCCTGTGTTCAGCGGCCTGTTGAAGGTGCGGGTGTGCGAGGCCGTGGACCTGAAGCCCACCCCGTGGGCCCTGCGTCACGCCGTGGGGAAGAGCGGCTCCTTCCTGCTGGACCCCTACCTGGCCCTGAACCTGGACCAGACCCGCCTCGGCCAGACCGCCACCAGGACCAAGACCAACAGCCCCGCGTGGCACCAGGAGTTCTGCACCGAGGTCCGCGAGGGACGGAGCCTGGAGCTGTCGGTCTTCCACGACGCCCCCATCGGCTACGACGACTTCGTGGCCAACTGCACCATCCAGCTGGAGGACCTGCTGCAGAACGGGACCCGGCACTACGAAGACTGGGTATGTGGGCTCCCGCACGTAGCAAACCTGTGGCCAGTGAGGGGTCACAGGTCAGCATCGCACTTTACCTCACAGTTTGACAGGGAGGCACGACAGATTTGTTTCTCCTCTCCACATGAGAATCTGCAGATTTAGTTACACCGCCGCGTAAAAGTAAGAGGGAAGGAGCCAGTCCTTGCATTTCAAGTCATTCATCATTATTGATTTCTCATAAGCAGGAAAAAGCCTGATAACAGTGTGAGTGAGGACACACTCCGGGGCCTTTGGTCTGGCTTTCACTCACACACACACACACCCACCTACCTGTTTGTTTTGAAGAAATCCTTAGAAGGTTTCCCTTTCTGTTTTTCACTCTCTGTTTCAATGCAGCTGTTTTGTAAAGGTCAGGCCCGGCCGAGGCGCGCCTCCTCAGTTAGATCTGGGTGGATGTCGCGCTCTCGGGTGTGTTGTACCGCCGCGAGCTCCCAGCAGGGCCGCGTGTTTAGGGCCCTTCCCGCTTTCGACCCACCTCGCCCGTCTCACCTCCTGCAGCTTTATCCCTCCTCCTCCCCAGATGAGAGCTGACCGGGCTCGCCTTTCGTCCGATTCGGGAATCTGGTCCTGACTTGTTGTCTAATTCGAATTACAATTTGAGCGGCAAAAACAACAATGAGGATGTCGAGCAGAGTCTGGGAGAGTTTCTGGTCACGTCCCAACTGCCTTGGGACTGTGATATTAGACTACCACATGGAGATGTGTGTGTGTGTGTGTGTGTGTGTGTGAGAGGAGAAAGAGCTGGTTGTTCTGACTTTGCTCCACTTTTGGTGCTTGTTTTTCCCACATTAGCTTTGTATTGTTCAAAAGACTGAGAATGATCATTTCATGAGCTGTGTTGTGCTGGTTGAGAAAAATAAAATGCAAAAAAAACACAGGTTAGTTCTGCATGTAGCCCCTTCTGTAAAAAATGTGGAAATGTTATTGTACAGTCAAATATTTTACTGAAGATATTGTCTTTTTACATGAATATCATCAATCTCAGGCCTCTGAGAGGGTTAATTTATAGTAGGGATGGACCCATTGTGAAAGTCTTAGCTGATAAGATGTTAAAAATAATCATTTGACTGATGGCCAACAGCTGATACAGCTTGTTTTTTTTTAGTTTTCCTTTAAGGACAGGAAAACAATTAAAAAGACATTGAAAAAACTTAAACTGAGAATTACAGCCATTCCTTGTACTTTCTTTTACGCAAACAAAACCTTTCATACGCATTTATTATCATACTTTCATAGTAATCTTTGCCGGACACAAAAGGCAAAAGAAACTATAGGTTCAAATGACTTTTTGTCTCCTTAAACTATGACCCATTCACGACCTTTCAGTGCCCAGCAGAGCCCCACGACTTTTATGTGTCCGGGAAAAGCGAAATTTGATTGAGTATTGTTAATATTCGGCGAAAAGCAATGTGGGAAAAACAGACGCACCTGATGAGTATTGGCTCCGTTCATTGGTTGCTGTTGCCCTATTTGCTGATACGCTGATGGCAATCAGCCAAATAAACGCCTGCACAGTAAGAAAATGAACCATCCCATATGTAAAACTTGAAAATATGTGTCAGATTGTCCTCGGCCACTGCAGTAATCAGAGCGTAACTCTCTCAGATGTTATATTTTGTAACACGAGGCTCTCAAATGTCAGAGTAGTTGTCGGAGACCTTGCTTCCAGCCGGATTAACACATGACCATGATGTGATGTTGAAAAGAAAGAGGAAACAACGAGATATTCACTGTGGTGGATACGTCTCACGTCCCAAGTCCTGGGAAGCTTCGTGGGGCCGTTCGGTGAAATCTTCTTATGAGCTTTTAAAGGGGGTGTGATTCCAAAGCCAAACAGTGGGCTTTGTTAATGGGGCTGTAATTGACGTGTGCTTACATAACCATACCCTGTATCAGCATATGTAAGCGTGTATAAATAGGCCCGCACGCACCTTGTCCCCCCGCCATCCAGAGTAAGGTCAGAGAATATGGATCTCTGTTTGATTGACCGCATCCTATCGATCAGCCAGCCGGCACATGGATGCATCACCCTCACAGCGACCCGGTCCCTCCCACTTCCCCTACCGCCCCCCCCCCTTTCATTACTCCATTACTCACCACTCATGCCTGCCGTGTCTCCCTCGTCCTCCCCTCCCCGACAGTGAATTCCTCTCTCATCTTATAAACACTTATCCCCCTCCTCCTGCTCTCCTCGTCTAACCATCATCTTCCCCTTCCTGCCGCACTCGTGCGCCTTAAAATCCTCTTTTATCTGCTTCCTTCCGATGCTCTTACCTTCTATTACGCTTCACTCTCCTGTTTGGAGGGAAGGATGTGGGTTTCAGACTGGAGAAGGAGCGTCCTGTTGCTACTTGATAAGTTGTGTTATTAGTTAACAAATCAGGAAGTTTTTAAATTTTTTTCAAGTCATGGAAAACTCCCTTTTGTGCCCAAAGGAGAGCCGTGGTCTTCATACCTTGATTATCTATATAAATTATCCATATATATAAAATATTAAAAAGGCTCAGTTTTCAGTTGAAAAAGACCTGAGGGATCAAATGTTGAGAGAAATGAGACTTATTCACATGCACTGCTTTAGCTGGAAGAAGCTGTCGGAACGTGAACCAACACGCACAGACATGCTAAAGTTGCTGGTTCCGGCCACTGCCAAACTTTTTGGCTTTTTTTAAATCCTGTTTTGGTGTGATTTTATGCCCGCTGTCCTTCCCTCAGCCTGGCTCGCACCGCAGAGTTTTAAGCTGGTTTTCCACCTCGGAAACAGAGGCCGGCGCTCCCAGACACAGGCCCCACATCTGAGGCGGTGGCCGTCAGCTGATTTGTGCGAACATTTCAAAGATATGCTATCAGAGACAACCCCAGAATAGATACACAGTGTGTAAAAAAAGAAAAAAGAAAAAAGAGGAGCTGGACCTGCGAGGGAGCCTTTAGCGGCGCTGCGGCAGCCAATGAGAAAGCAAGAGACGGGGTCATGGGATGAGACACATGAAACCTTGAAAAGGAAAAAAAGACAAAAACATACAACAATGTGACGGAGAGCGCAGTGAATAAACAGCAGGGTGCCCTGAAAATGAAAAAAAACAAAAAAACACCCCGGCTTCTTTTATGTTTGCAATTACTAAACGGACACGAGGGAGGGAGGCTGGAAAGAGTAACGATCACTTTCTCCTTGATAAGCAGGTTAGCAAAGCAGATTGTGCTGCCAGGAGCGGCCGGTATTGTTTGTAGTGTGACGCTAATGAGACCTGCGGTCATGAGTTTGGTGACCCCCCCCATCTCGGATCAGCTGTGAGTTCCTACACAACAGAAACATCAGATCGACGGCACTGAAGGGTTTGCTCGAGCATTCATCTCCTGGAGCTGCATCAGGGCTGCGCTCCTCATTTAGCCTTCTTCTTCTTCTTCTTCTTCTTCTTCTTCTTCTTGCATTTCGGGTTACATCCTGCTAGCTGTCATGTTTCAGCTGTTTCTCTTTAAGTGTGCGCCGTCAGCAGTGGTGGACACACACACTGTGTGCACGGGGAAATGGATACCTTAGAAACATGTGAACTCCATGAACCTGGTATTCACATCTTGGAGCTCAGGTTAAATATCTAAGTCATTTGCGGGGTGGATTGTTGGCCACCTCTGTCAAGAGTTTTATCTTTAATTTCGTGTCAGTATGACATTTCAAGTGGCTCCAATGTGTTTTCTCTTAAGTTCTGATGAAAGAAATAACTAAAGTTTACCCCAAAAAATGAATTAGACCCTCTTCATTCCGCTGCGCATCGTTCATAACGGAATGAACAGAAGTAACAGAAACTGAAATGTGCAAGAATAAAGAAGAGAATCTCTTAACGGAGTAGTAATTACATTACTCAGCATGATGCCGTTAAGTCAAAAAAGCACCCCGAGTCCAACCAAATGGTACATTTCCTGCTGTTCAGATGAACACTGAGTTTTTCTCACTTCCTCCGCCCGCCTGCTGCCTCTCGCTTCTCATCTCATCATCTCTCTTCATCTCTCTCGTGGCAGCCCTCTCCCTATCCCCAGTCTCCCATTTTCTTTTGTCTCCATCCGCTTCTCCTTCTCTTGTGGACCCAAGTGCAAGTTCCTGCTCTGCACCGCTGGTGAAATATTAACCAGGCTTTGATGCTTATTAATTGTCCCGCTCAGTAATTGAGATGCTTAGTGGTGCCTATCCCCATGGCGACGGCAACAGTCCGTCCCCCTGGTGATAGCCTCTCACCCACAGATTCGCCAGAGAGAGAGAGAGGGATGGGTGGGTGCAAGTTGGGGAAGCAAGAAGCCACGAAAAAAGCCAGGCTGGCTCTAGTTCTGGTCCCGACTGATTTAACATCCAAGGCCTTTAAAGGTTGAGACATTCTCAAGGTGTGTGCGTATGATGCTCTTCGAGGGAAATTCCATTGAACTCACCATCATAACTTTGGAGATGACGTATGCAGGTGCTCACTGTAACAACGTTATCTACTCGGTTTCGAAATTCAGACACTGGACATGTTGAAACAAGCTTTACTCAGCTATTTGCTCCCACTGTACCATCGGATGTCTTCTATAATCATCCAGCAGAGTTCGGAGCTGCTTTTTGGATCAACATTACTTATGTACAGGCTTTCTGTTCACTTCGCCTGGTGGTTAATGGTGTTCTTAGAGTACAAATGAGCTAGAATGGAATAATTTCAAACCAACTTAGGTGAAACAAAACCTGATGAACTTAAAGTCCTGGGTTCACATATTCTATTGTGACAACTAAATGTAGAACCTGCATTATTAGGCATGATGCACATGTGAACATACCTTTTTTAAGAGAAGTATCAATATGTCCGGGAAAGTCATGCATAAAAGAAAAGAAAAATTTTCTGTCTTGTTTGTCTTTATTGGCAGCGCAGCACTGGGTAAAACAAACATTTGTCCATGTGTCTAAAAGTACTTTTACACCAAGACTGCAGTCAGCCGTTGGAACATCTGGA